TTTTTTTCCAGTTTAAAAATAACTACACTTATTAAGTTGTATATTTCAATGGTAACGAATTAGATTCTCTAGACAACAACTCGAAAGTTAATTTAATTACCATTTCATATCTTGTGTACCTCGTCCGTAAATTTTATCATCATGAATTTCACCTGAAAATGGTGGAACAATCCAATATTCTTCAAAAACTGGTACTACATCAATATGTGAATTTAAAACTATTGATTGCTCATTTGTAGAAGATGATAACCACTAATTGATATACATATGAAATATATATCTATATAATCAATAAGATAACCTACAGTTAATATAGCTGCTTGTCGATCTTCATCTATTGTTATTAAAGAATATTCAAGATCAAGTTCTTGAGCATATTTTTTTAAGAATTCAAAAGCTTTATCATAATCCGGTTGTGGTTGAACTGTTTTAATCTGAATATATTCCACAAAATGTTGAATAGCCAATTGCTTTTGATCTTTATCATTCATATTCTATAATCGGATGATAGAAAAAATAATTTTATCCATCTAGTATATTTATTAATATATTTAAAAAAAAAAGGAATAGGCTACATAAAGATTGTTACAAAGATTAAAATTGACTTATTTTAATGAGTCTGCATAATATGCATAAAATCTAATCGATCGATATCTATATCACATGTAGCTCGTATAGTTTCAAGTGAATATTCTTGTAAAAGTTTGCCATTTTCATAAACAGTTACAAGTTGATCATCAGCTTTGTCATATTCGTCAATATGATCAATATTACTTATTGTTCGATAACTATCATCATGATCTTTAATTAATTTTAAACGACCAGGTTTATTACGTTTGCCCATATCTGTAATTGGATCTTTAGCAACTGGTGAACCAATACCATTTATTTCAACATAGGAACATTTAATAGCAAATTTCATTGTATCACGATCGAATTTTTGTAAAAGACCACCTATTTGATTATAAATATATACAATTAATTAAGAAAAAAAACGAAATCTTACCACCACTACCAAATACAAGATTATCTGTTGAAAAACCGATTCTTTCAATTAAATTAACAATATCATGAATTGTTTTTAAGTTAACACCATCACCTTGAATTATTCGAACATGTTTATCAATTACTTTAAAACCTTTGTCATTGGTAATTCCACCAAATTTTGCATATAAGATATTTAATAAACGTTCAAGAACTTCCAGTGGATTACCTAAAAACAAAAAGAGCGAAAATATTTTTCTTCGTCCAATAACTTTTAATTAATGATTTAAAAGTTTATTTCAATACAGAAAATATTTCCTGCCCTATTTTATATTATTACGATAAGTAATCAATCGTTTGTTATTTGACTTTATTCTTTTGAAGAAAAAACTTCCAGACATAATAGTTTGTTTTTAATCATTAATATTCATACTCATTAAAATTTTTACCTGAATCAGGACGAATAACCAAGGTACCATCACGTGCCATAACTTGGTCATGTAAAGCTTCACCCCATATATGTTCACAAGCATTGTAAATATTATATGAATCGGATACACAAGAAATAGTACCAGTTGGATAAATTTCTATGAATATTTAAATAGAATATTTATTGAATATAAAATTCATTTTTACCTAAAAAGTTTTTATAAGCATCGTGTTCTCTTTCACGTGTCCAACTAACCATTGTTGAATGTTCGGATGCTGGAATAGAATGAGCAGCTATTTCCTGAGCTGAATAATAGTTTTTAGCTAATACACAACCAGATATAGTATCTGTGCCATAAAATGATGTTAAATGTGCACATGATCCAACTAAAAAAATTTAAAGAAATGATACAAAAAATAACTTAATAATAATTAATTACTAGCTGATGTTTCGTATGATGATACACCACGAAAACCAAAATCATGCATTTGATTTTTGATTAATGTTGGATCACCTGTTCGTACTAATGCTTTTAACTAAATATCAAAAAAAATTATTTTTTTATATAATATAACAATATTTATAATTATCTATACAAGAATTTTTTTTATTTCTCTAGAATTTGTTGCGATTGTTATTGGATACCAAACTTGAAGTAATATTGTTTCTAAAAAGGTTGTTAATGACGGGCATTTTGGATCTGTATTTTCAATTGTCATAAGAACATTTCCAGTTGGTACTACTGTTCCTTCCGGGACAGCTTTTATACGTATTGGTAAATGTCCATTATGTTTTTCAATAATATATTCCCACATTTCTTTTTCAATGTAATCATGTCCAAAATGTTCCGTCCAAAATTTTGTTGCTTCAGCAAGTTTTTCTTTCGTAACAACTTGTCCAATTAAATGTTTTTTTAATATATATTGTAAACCAAAAAATACTTGTTCAGGATAATCACCGCCACGACTTTCCAAATAAGCGTAAACAATATTTATATTTGGTGGATATTGTGAATGATGAGAAATTTTATATGAATCGGCTTTTAATAGAATATTATCTTCCATACTAAGATAAATGAGTAAAATTTAAATTTGAAAAAAAAATAGTTGAAGTAAAGAAATATATATATGTATGTTGTTAAGAAAATTCCATTCAAAATTACTTGATGACAACAAGTAAGAAAAAAAAGTAATAGAAAGAAATGACGTATGCAACTGAAAAAAAACAGAAAAAGGTAAAAAAAAAACTCCTCCAGGTTTTGATAAGACACTTATTGTCTACAAACGTATATAAAAGAACAATAAATATGACAGCAGAAAAGAAACGTCTTGCCACAATTGTAAGCGGCATAATTATTTTAATGTACAGAAATAAAAACAGATTGCTGGTAACTATAAAAAAATAATTATGTTAATATTCCTCGTTTCTGAGAATAACAATATGTAATAATTTTCCTTCTTTTTTTTCTTCCTTGATCACTATTTTTGGTAACATCAATTTGAATAAATAAAAGCAGAACTATTTCAGGTGTGTTTGTCAAGGTCTGAGATTCAAGTGGACGTGATGCGTTTACGTTATTTTTCGACAAAACGTTTCTTGACATTTTTGTTTCTTCTCCGTGAAAAGGTTATGTCAATTAATAATCAAGACAATGAATATCTATCAGTTGAAGTTAGTCGAGTTTATAATAGATAAATACATTTAATAATCAGCTCTTATTCGATGAGATATTGTTAATAACTATCGAAGTATTGTCATTTGTGTGAAATATGAATTAAGCAAAGTTTCGATAAGAACTGTTCTTTGTAAGTTGTAGAGATTTGTATACTATATTTATGGTATATTACATCTTCTAATAAAACGCATTAGATAAAATAAGAAAAAAGAATGGTTTGTTTTCGCAGCGATGAAAACTAATCGCACAGAGTTTTGTATTTTTTTTCAAACAAAAAATAAACTTTACTTTGTAGATTGAGTTTGGGTGTAATGACGTTCGATTATCGGCAATTGTACTCCATCAGAAGAAGTAGATCTGATTTTCTCTTGTATAGGATTTGGCATTCCTTTTAGATCGTATTTCACAGAAAGATAATTTAAATAAAAGTGTTAAGCCGAGGGACTATTTTATTTTCTTCTTTCTGTCATTTGTTTCTATCGAGATACGATATCCACATGTATTAGATATACATATATATTCGAGGACACGGCATTCCCTCGTTCTCTTCTTGGTCGTATATAAACCGTAACATCTTATTTAGAATAATGTATGCACTATTCACAGGTCAACCTGTTCGATAATTTAGACTCTAGTGAATACAAAGAAGAACCAATGTAAAGCATTTTGTAATATTGAAGTTCAAGAGCAATTATCAAAATAAACTTTCTAAAGTTTTACATAAATAATTTATTAGAATTGATGTCAATCTTTAAATTCTTACAACTATTCTTATTCAATAACATTTCGTATAATAGAGAAATGACTCCATTATTAATTAATGAAAGCATAAATATTGATAGGGATGCACCGAGCTCGAAACCAAATTGAGAGTTTCGATTAGTCTTCGTAATATTTAGTTCAGTCAATCTATGGGCACAGGATCGATCAGGGATCAAAAAGACATCGAGAAACTTGATTGTTACTTGAGGATACAATATAAAAAATAATAAAGAGATGAAGTTTGCTGGAAGAAAGTTCGTGATAGACTGTTCGAAGGCGAACACCATGTTCAAGTTGTTAGGAGTGACATTGACAACGCGACAAATTAAAATCAGAATCGAGACAGATCGGGAAACTCGGTGCTCTCTCATGCAATTTTTAATAAGCTAATTTGATTGTTTTCATCGTTAAATATTTTATTACAAAAAGTAATTAATTGGTGAAAAGAATAGAAAAAAAACTTTTCTTTGAAAGAATACTTTAGCTGCTACAACTAGCAAATAAATGACATTGATAATAAGTAAACAGTTTTAATAAAGGATCGAGTGATATTCAAGATTTATATTTATAACGACACGATTAGAAAAATCCTTCGTTAAGTAAATTATTTTTTCCTAATCTATGAGTAACAGTCAACAGAAACTTCTGTATTATCCTTTTCTAAATCTAATGAATAAAAATAAAAAATAGTTTCTATTATATCGGGATATATTTTTTAAATGCAAAACAGATAAATGCGATATCATGTCGAATCAATATGCATATACACAAACATTGTCATGAACGTTCAAGTAAAACAGAAATAAAACATAAACAAACAGTAAAACAAAATAATCTATAATTTCTTCCATTTATATTTTAATAAACGAAAAAGTATCACCATGCGTTCGATCTGTTGAGAATCATTTGAATCATGCGAAATATTCGCTAAAGTTAAATGAATTGTTTCAAGTTGAGTACGTAATATTGATGTAATTTGTTCGGAATAAGTAGAATATACAAAATTCGAATTCTTCATATCTATAGATATATATCATTAAAAAAACAGAAAATCTTATTTATATTATATATATATAACAATTACCAATCATAAAATCAGCATAGGTATCGAACAGGCTTCGAATTAATAATAATGACATTTCATCAATTGACTAAAGTAAGAAAATAAGATTTTGATTAGTTTTTCCAGTCGGGTGCGGGCGTGGACTACCTATCTTCCACACCAACACACACCTTCATCCTATCCGTAGATGTTTTACTGCTATTTGCAAATTAACAGCTTATTATAAAACACGAATCAAAATAGATATTCCTTTGACATGAGAAAATAGACAAAATAATAGCTCAGAGTTCGAGGACTCAACTCCACTTTTCGAAGAACTGTATGGAAGAAAAGATTAAAAAATTAAATTATGGTAAGATACTTAATAGTTTCGTGAGGTCTATTTACTTGACGAAGAATCAATGATCGATTTTTGCTGAAAACTTTGTATACTTACATTTGGTGATGTTAATGTCATCTTAAAATAAAAAGTAAATAGTTTAATCATCTTTTAATCAATTGAAATCTTTCGTACTTGAATATGATGAAAAAGGTTTTCGATATCATTGATTGAGAACAATTTAATATCAAATTTATTCGAAATTAATTCATTTATTAATAATAAACGAATATCAATTAATAAATCTTTATTGAATAAAATAAAATTCAAATATGTTGAATTTTCTTCACATAATTTTGTCAGAAACAATGCCATCTTAAATGAGAAAATACATTTTTTAAAAAACTGTTTTAATTAAACTTACTTGTCTTATACGATTTTCTTTTTCATTAACAAATAAAATACATAATTCCATAACATTGAAACAAATCGAAAGTTTTTCATTAATTAAACTAAATAAAATTCGAAATATTTTTTGTTTTGTTTTGAAAACATTTTTCTTACTTATTTTCTTGATGATAAATAATATATCGAATAAAACCTTCAATCCATTGAAAAATTATATTTTCGTTCTTATGAAAATTAAATACTTTTTTATTTTGACATTTATTTCTATGTATTTCAATTAATTCAATAAAATAAATAATTAATTTAATACGATCAAATTTATTCGATTTCTTCATAATTAATTTATTAAAATAATCATCTTCTATCAATGATGAACGATGTATTTCTTTATTTGTTATTTTACATATATCATATTCAATTAAATCGAATAATAAATCAAATAATATAATTAAAATTGAAGAATATTTATCACATTGAGAACAGTTAATTTCATAAATATGATTGTATGTTGGTAATTCAATCAATAAATAACGTAAATATGCTGTAAAACCAAATTGATAGAATGAAAATTCTTTTTCACTATCAGAAGAATTTCTTATAATAAACATTTTCAAGAAATTTTCAATTATTATTGAAATCAACGATGGGTCTATATAATATGATAATGATGGATTATCCATAGGTTCGCATTTAATAAGAGAATTTAAATATAAACTATTTGATGGACGAATATTTTTTTGATGACATATGGAAATATGTTCAAGTAAAAGTAATCCAAGATTATGTAACCATTTTGTTCGCATTGTTGATGAATGAATTGTATGATCAAGAAGTTTTTCACGAGTATGAATATTACTTGGAATTGAATAACTAGATAGAAAGATAATACATACGATTATTAATTTAAGATTCAAAGTATTTGTTAGAAAGCCATTCTCTAGGTAATATTTATTTATTCTCTCAGTACACGAAGTATCATATTATTCAAAAGATCGCTTTCTAAAACTAACCTTTGTTGTTCAATTTCTTTTATATCATCATCATCGTCATCATCAAATATAATACATTCATTGAAATAGTTTTCAGATCGTTTTCTCGATGATTTCATTTGATTCTTTTGTTGATTATCATTATTATTTAATGGACGTTTAATAACTTTGAAACCATAGTCTTCAAGAGTTTTACCAGCGTGTTCTTTTGTTGATCTTTTTCTTTTTTTCTTCGATGAAGGTTGTTTTATTCGTAATGATTGATGAAATTCGTTATTCAATCGTTTTGTTTTATTTGTATGACATGAATTGATTGACTAAAAATAAAAGAAAACATTTGTTTTGTTCGGATAATATGATTAGAATGAAATACTTTAGATTGTGCTGAGATATTTTTTTTCATTTTTCTATTTTGATTTATTTCGATTGATTTTGATTTGATTTTAGTAATAATCTTATTTAAATTTTGACTTTTACTATTTCGCTCTGTTTGATCTATGATAGTATCACATGAGAAATCTGTTAGACCATCTAATTGTGGAAATAAGAAATCATTATTATCATATACCATCGGTTCATTTTTCACCGGACGATTAATATATGTAATAAATAGATCTTCGACTTGGCTTGATGATATTTCTATAAAGAAAATACATTGTAATTTAAATTGTATTTTATTAATTGGACTGTTGTCCTTTGATTTGGCATCGATTACACATAACTATCTATTTATACAGATTTCAGTTTATCGGTGTGAGAAAAAAAACAGAAAGGTCTAGTGAGTATCCTAATTTGGTCATCATTTCATTTTAAAACTTCTTTAGTAATTCTATTCATCAAACTAAATTTTACCAGTTGATAAATTCATAGAATCAGTATGAGTATTTTCATTAGCAATTATTTTATTATTATCTTTAACTTCTTCTTCATCATCGTCACTTTCAATTGTTGGTAGAAATTTTCCAGGTTCCCATTCAGCAAGTTTATCAAGATGATTATCATCATTACTATTACAAGGTGCTTTTGGTGATGATACTTCTTCAAGATTATCATCTAAATCATCCGATGACATATTTTCAGCATCATTAATAGATAAATTCATTTTAAGAGAATAAAACTTTAATAATGATCGAGAAATCTTTGTATTATTTGATGGTTGTTCAGGAAGGAAGAATTTAAAATCAAAACTTGTCCAACTAGAGTTACTTCTAAATCGACGTGCAAAAAGATAAGAAATTCGTTGTGAATTCCAACATATATTCGATAATAAACAACAATCATTATATATTAAACAACTAGAATTCATTGTTAAAGCTTGATCTGTTAAAATAAAATGTAATAAGCAGTTATATATTCGTCCGAGTTAAGAATATCAATGACATATGTATTCATGAAACATTAATCGTTGATTCTAAAAGAACAAATCAAAGTACCTAGTTGAAAATATCGAAATATTCCAGGTAGTTAAATGATAGAAATAGTGTAGTTAGATGTTTACTTTGATCAAAATAGTTCTCTACGTTTTAGCTAGCACCTATCAGAGGCAACGAGAAAAGATTTTTTTAAAATATAGACGAAATCATTCATGGATTCACCCTATCATACAAATTATCCTTTGTCGTGTCGAAGTTTCCAAAATGATTTTCTCATCTAAATTTTTCTTCAATCTTCTGCAGTCTGACTATTGGATCAGCCATTCTAGAAGAAACCCATACTCAGTAGTTTAATTAATGAAAACATCAGAACTATTCATATCTATAAAACTACTGGATTGTCATTACAACAATATTAACACTTTTTCATTATAATTACTAATTATAAGATACCAAACGTTTTGCATCATTTATCATTTCGTATGATTCACTTGTTTATTAATCATACTATTCTATTCATACAAAAAAAA